AGAGGTGATGGAGACTGAACTCTCCTCCTGAACTTCAGTTTGATCTACGCACCGATTCCAGCTTGACCGACAATCCAGGACATTCTGATGAAGAGCATCACCCCCCAGATGTTCAGCATGCAGCGGACCTGCAACACACACACACACACACACACACACACACACACACACACACACACACAGTGCTCAACATGTGGTCCAGTCCCTTCCTGTTTATCAGATCTCTCTGAATACTTGATGTTCTCTGTCACACTGACCAAGACTCCTTTCACCCAACCAAACTTCACACTTCCTCCCTTCGCCTCCTTCGCCGCCAGCGCCGCGGCCTCCTCAGCTGCCGATGGCTCCTCCCCATTGGCCAGACCGTCCTGGAAAGGTTCCTGACAACCAATCACAGCCAAGATGGAGAAGAGTGAGAGACAAAACCACAGGTGAGTGACAGGTTGGATCATTAATGAAATATTTACCAAGATAAAAATAAAACATATTGGAAAGTTTTAAAATTAGTTTTGGTCTGATTTAACTACCTTAGCTAACTTAGCCTGTGAAGCTAATGATGTGTCGCTAACATTAGACTGATCTCCAGCCCTGACTAAGCTAACTTAGCTTGTGAAGCTAATACTGTACTGCTAACATTAGACTGATCTCCAGCCCTGACTAAGCTAACTTAGCTACCTCGGCTTGTTAAACACTGATAATTAGCCTCCTGGTCATGCCGCAGACACACGAGGTGTCTCGGAGGTTTGTTGTGCAGAAACATGGAGAATCACCATCATGCTAACACACAGTGATGGTTCAGGAGCGTGTTCAGGCCGTGGCCTCAGTGACTGTGACAATAATTATCTTTAGGGTCTGAGACACAAGTTTGATTTGACTCCATGAGGTGAAATATAAAGACACATGTGAATCCTGACGGTTCTCTGTTGAGGGACAATGTGCATCTATGGTACCTACATGTGTCAGAGGAGTGGGAGCACGGGAGGCCTGCAGGGTCATGAGAGGCAGCATTGTGTGTGTGTGTGTGTGTGTGTGTGTGTGTGTGTGTGTGTGTGTGTGTCAGGAGCTCAGGCCTCCAGTGATGTCACTGGGCTCATTCACAGTCTCAGGTGGGAGTGACAGGAATGTTTTCTGTTTACTTGGTTTGTAATGTGTCTGAAACTTGGATAGAAACTTCAACAACCTCTAACTTCTCTTTTCACTGTTGTCACCACAACACATGTAAATAACAGGAGGACTCGTGTTCATGCACAAATATTAAATTAAAGTTCGAGCAGCAGACGAATGTGACGCTTTAAACCTATTTTATCATCATCATCCATCCACACGTGACAGTTGTGGTGACGGTTGTGAAGTTATGGATCAGTCGAGTACATTGAAGTGTGGGGACGTTGTGGTTATTTGAATGAGAGTGTTCTGGACCAAACCTGAATAGATGATCATTATATCTCCACAGGAATAAACTGATTCTAACTGCTCATTAACTGCAGCTTCTCCTGTGGGAAACTAAACGTTCACTTAATCTTAAAGAGGTAGAGAAGTGGTTCTGTGTTTAAAATGGACTTCAGTAACAATAGAACCACAAAGAAACATGTGACAATGAACAGAATGTTAAATCTTTTTCTCGTGTTATTAATGAGGGAACTCATCGAGATTCAGATTGTACATGTTTAACACACACTTATAAACTTATGATGAGAAACTTTATGAGACTGGAAGCAGAACCATATTCATGGCGGAGTGAGAATCTGTAATCCTAACTATCTGTCACTGTCCCGGAACTGTGGAGGTTTTTTATGTGACAAATAAAACAGCTTTAATATGTTTTTTACTTTATCGAGTTCATCGTGCAGCTCCGACAGCGACGGTCTGGACATCTTCTCCCCGAAAGGCGCAGCGGTCTGTCGGTAGAACTCGATGTTGGGCACGGCGTCTATGGTGTTGTGTCCGAAGGTCCTCATGTAGTACGTGTTGGAGTGGGAGTCGGAGATGTGCGTGTGCCCCGTGCCTGTGGAGTGGAGGCTGACCGAGTCGCTCTTCGTCGTGTCCGGCTCGTGGAAAACATCCGGCGGGAGCCCGATGTCCATGGCGCTGCCCAGTGCGCCTGGATCCGCAAAGCCCACCACCCTGAACCGACCTTTGGACTCCTCAGGCGGCTTGGAGCCGTCGCCGGGAGCCGGAGCCGGGGAGGAGGAGGAGGATGCTGCGGCCTCTGTCACCACATCCACCTGGAAGCGGCTCTGAGGGGAGCCGCTCCTCAGGGACGGTTTCTGTCCCGACATGAAGACGATGAAACCCGCTGAATGAATCACTGATGAACGGTTAACACCTGCTCCAGAACCACGGTGAAGTCCAGCAGCTGCAGCTCCGACCGGTCAGAGAAGAACCAGAGGCACCGAGGACCGAATCAGACAAACCCTCACAGACCAACTGATGTTCTCTGGGGAAACTCCTGGATGCGCCAGGACGCACCGCGGTGGCCTGTGCGTAATGTGCGTAAAAGACTCACACACACACGCACACACACACACTCTCTGTGTCTCTATCTGTCATCTGTCCATCCACGCACGAGCTGGTGCGAGTATCGTCTCCTCTGATGGAGACTCAAACGGTTTATTGTTATCGCTCTTCGCTCTCTCCTCCTCTCCCTGCACTCCAGAGACATCCCAGCGTGTCGGGACCGAGGAGGAGGAGGAGAGGAGGAAGAGAGGAGGAGGAGGAGAGGAGGAGGAGAGGGCGAGGAAGAGGTGGTGAGTGGAGGAGAGGAGGAGGAAGAGATGGAGAGTGGGGGAGGAGGAGGAGGAGGGAGAGGAAAGGGATGGATTGGTGTCCATTACGCATCCAGCCTTGGCACGCGCCCTGGCTCGAGATGAGTCTCGAACATGAAACAAACTCTGAGTGACGCACAACTTTACAATGCCTGTAATGTGTGTATGTGTGTGTGCGTGCGCACGCGCGCGCGTGTTACAGAAGTCATATTGATGTCACACTGAGACACGCACATACATACACACACACACACACACACACACACAGGCCAAGACAAGCGGAGGAGGCGAGAGTGTGTGCGTATTACGTGTGCGCGCGTGCATGTGCAGCCTCGTCATTAAGGGAACAACAGCTGCTTTATGTCAAACACTGGTCAGTTCTTCTGTTAATGTGACGGGGGTGCAATAAAGTTTCATTCAAGATAAGAGTCAGAAACTTTTTCAAACGTTTGGGATGATAATATAATAAAATACTTATTAATATAATAATATAATAATAATAATAATTGGGTTCAAATGACAAACTTTAATCAAGATATAATAATAAAAGTTTGATTTGTTGAATTTTATTATTAAAATTAAAAATTCTTTTAAATTCTCATTATCTATTCACATGTGTTTTTAAATCAGTGAACATTTTATGAATCCATTTATAATCCCTTTTCTAGTTAAACAATCATTTGTCATAATAACACAGCGACACATTTAACGGAGCTTCTCTCTCATTAACACAACAAAATATAAATATCAATAAATAAATAAATTAAATGGAGAAATGTTCTTTAAACATTTGCTTCAAATATATAAATGTTGCCTGACACCCTGTGGTGAATAGTAAGAGCAAGGTACTATACTACTAGTAATGCTACTACTACTACTTCTAATGATACAGTAATAGTAATCAGTTATACATATATTGCACACTGTGATATACGAAAATATAAACATACAGCAGATATTAATATATATGTGTTGTATATATTTCAGCTCAGTAACCGTGTAACTGCAGTGCTGGAAACTAAAAAAGTGACAGAAAAGTCATTTTAATATTGTGTTTATCTTCCTGTCTTTTTTATTTTCGATAATTAAAATGGGATCAGTTCCAAACAGAACCTATGACAACTGAATTTAAAACCATTAGAATGTATCTTCATGAATTATATTATCTGAGGAAAACCACTGTTGTTCTTTAAGTTAACAGTATTTGTGTGATGTGCATTGTCAGGTTCGGTGAAGTCGTCTGGTCGTCACCACGGAGCTGTTGTACCTGAAACAGCACAAACATCTGGTGTCATCACTTCAACATCAGATCGCTGAACTTTCAAACTGTCTTGATTTCTCTCAACGTGGTTGCAGGTGACTCAGTCTCAGGGGTTCTACCTGGAGAAGTGGGAGGAGTGATGAGCTGGCAGCCCTGAGTGGCTGAGAGGAGCCGAGGACGAAGAGGAAGATGAGGAGGATGAAGAGGCGAAGTGACGGTTGACGTCCTGACTGTGGCAGAGACGCTCTCGACCACGAAGACACAAAGACTCTTCAAGAGGAACCACAGGTATCTCTGCCAGAGCTGCGTTCTGACACACACACACACACACACACACACACACACACACACACACACACACACACACACACACACACTCTCTCATTTTAATCGACTGATCTCCTGATATTCACAAACGTTGAAGTTCTGACTTCATTGTTGAATCTCAGAATCTTTCCCCTCTGTTGTGATCTCTGACTGAGCCGATCAGAAAACAACAGTTCCGCCTCTCTTGTCTCGACAGTGATGACACTGAGAGGAGAGAGTGTCAGGAGTCCACCTGAAGCTCGTTGAGTTTATCTCCGCGCTGAGGCAGAAGGTTTTCAAGAGGAGATAAGAAATGATTGATGTCACATGCGTGTATATTTTAATTTGCTGCGCTCCTTATCTTATCCTACCTTCCCTTAATCACCTTACTGTCAGACCCAACACAGTTCTTCACCCTAACGTGTAATGATTCATTTTATGAGAACCTTAACCCAGGAGGAGCGTTTGTTTTCTCCTCTGGTATCTACCTTCATGAGGAGCCTCTGGTTCTTCATGTCCTGTTTCCATGGCATCACGTACAGTTTGGGGATCATGGGATGTCGGGCTGAGAACGTCTGGACGTGTGAGGACGACGACCTCGGAGTCAGCACAAGAGATAAGTTACTGTTCAAACACGTTTGGGTTTCAGGACAATGTTAACAGATTGTGAATATATCGGTCGATATATTGGCATCAGAAATGTTTTACTCCCTAATATCGCTAAAAACCTGTTTCAGTAAACAGAACATTGCAGTAAATTATAGTTTATAATATTCTGTAAAAACAATTATTTTATCCTTTGGAAGTTTTAATATTTTAGTTGGAAAAATGACAATAATGTTTCATGAAGTTTGTTTTTCAGGTAATTCACTAAACTGAAGGATTTTTACAAACATTCTGCAGCAGTTCAAGGTCAAAGTTGTTTTTTTTCTCTGGTGAAGTTTTCAGGTTTAAAAGAATCACAGAGAAAATCAAAATAAAATGTAGACTTCAGTTTATTCCAGGTCATTCATCTGTAGAACTACTCACTCGTGTTGCTGCGAGCTCCCTGCAGCTTCAGCCATGTTTGTTGACTGTCAGGGTCGCCTTAGAAACCCCCACACGTCCCCCCCAGTGCATCATGGGTCGTGGGTAGGATTACAAGAGGGGAGTGTGCGAGTGAATCGGGCGACCGGTGGATGAATTTAGATTCTAAATAAATGTTCTTTCATTTAAATCCTCTTTAATGTAGAATGTGCTCTAAAAACTAATCACGAGTCACTTTTTATATCATCAGCACTTCCTCACATTCACCTTCTATGATTCTATGAAGTAAAATAAAACCATGGCACAGTACCTGACAGTCCAGTACACACAGAATGAAGACAAACATTGGAGCCAGAACCAAAGTTTATTTGACAAAATAACTTTATTGCTCAACAGAGGAAAAATAAAACATTTAAATCAATATAATTTTCACATTTACAGAATCTCAGCGACGTTCGTCTCTGTAACAGTCGACTGTCTGAGTCTCCAGCAGAGAATCAAAGAAGAATTAGCTTCACGATGTTGAGACACGTTTACAACCGCACACAACCAGGGAGTTTAACCCGAGGAGGTTCTGTCTGTAAACAACACTGTGACATCATCACTGCTCTTTGTCCTGGTGTGTATTCGCACTTTAACAGAATTTAAAGTGTTTGTTCTCGTCAGTCACGTTAGTTTGTAACATCTGTTCTTATAAACTAGATATTTACAGAATATTTACACATCTGTTTACAACACGTTCATCTGGATTCACTCAGGCAGCTTCGTCCAGGAGTCTCTGTAGATTCTTCTGCACCTGAAGGAGCAGACGTGTGTTATTATTAATATATATGTTAATGATAAGCTTCATTTAAAGTCTTCTCTTGTTGCTGAATCTGACTCCTTGATATAATCTGATTAGATTGTCCTCTGCAGGTGTGACGAGGTTCATCTGAGCAAAGAAGCTCCTTAAAAAATTTAAAAACTTTTTAAATTTAGTAAATTTGAGACTTGTGACTCATATTTTTTTCTTGTTTTCATCAATTTAAAGCAGTTGAAGCTTTTTCTTGTAAATCGTCCTTCATGGCCTCGTACACATCTGGTATCAACATGTGGTTTTTGTGATCGGATCTCACTTCCCCGCCCTGTATGCAAACAAACACGTTCATGTGGTCGGATCCCATAAAGCACGTTACTACCAGCTGTGAACGGAGTCTCTGTCTAAAGTCGACTTCCTGAATATTACCCCCCCGCTCTGAACATGTTGCATAGATTATAACAACACGCCGTCGAGCTTTTGGTCAAACTCTGAGTCTTGACTGATTCTCTGCAGATGAAGCTGGTCTTGATTTGATCAGTTCAGACGATGACTTCATGTGTGAGCTGCAGTTTGTCGGTGATGAGACGAGTGTGAAAGGTTAACGTCGTCCGGACACAGGGAACAGAGCGACGAGCCTCCAGCTCCTCTTACACATGACGTGCTCGCTCCTCTGTGGACAGACCTCCGACTATAAATGTTTGATCAACACCAACAAGTGTCCGGTGACACATGGAAACTCTGGAAACTCTAGAAACTCTTCGTCGACTGGTTTCAAATGTTGACTTAAGTCACTTATTACATTTACTCATGAATATAACTTGTATCCCACGTACTTCAGATTAAGATCACTTTATAAAATACTGCTGTAAATTAAAACAAAAAAACTCTGACTATACTGGATGTGTCATACAACAAGTGAGTGAGTACTTTTACTTACTTTCTTTGTGGTAATACTTCTGTACTCGAGAAACCAATTTTTAAATGACTGTGCTTATATTTGTAATCTTCAGTATATCGTGAAATCCTGAAATATTATATTTATTTATTTTTAGAATAAAGACAGATACACTGATGCTAGTAGAATGGATTTGGACCATGTGAGTGTAAATAAAGATGGACGACATGACAGCTCCCAAAAGTGAAGCCAAACAACACTGACTGCCCCCTGGTGGCTGCATGCAATATCGGTCATAAACCTTTAAGCTTTTGAGAAAAATGTATTTAACGTGTACATGCAGCCAGCCACCAGGGGGCGAACCGGATGTTTTGGCTTCACTTCTGGGATCTTTCTTTATGGTCCACGTGTCTCTGATTGATGGACAAACCTTCTCGAGCTTCATCAGGTTGATGGTCAGAAGTTCAGAGAAGAACTCTGTGTTCACGTCAGAGCTTCCCTGCAGGAAGTCGTTACTGAAAAAAAAATGACATCATTAAATAACCTCGTTAAAGATTCGTATTCAGGAACAAGTAGAATAAAGAGATCAATCTTTAAATCCTGTGTCACTACAGTCTGTCCCTGTGAAGGAAGCTGAGCTGAAAACTTTCTCTTTGTCTCTCAGGACATTTTGGACTCACTCCCTCTGGTGATTGAACTCTGCGACGGAGCCGAGCGTCGTCAGCGTCTTCTCCAAAGAGATGATCTTAAAGGCCAGGTAACAGGACGAGAGGACCAACACACACACCCTGAGAACACACACACACACACACA